TTTAAATACAAATAATATTATAATGTACAGAATTGAAGCATACTAAATGTTTTAAAAATATTGTTTTTGTATTAATATTTTTTCTTCCTTATACTTTATTGCTAAAAATTATTTTTTTTAATTTGCAAGTAAGTAAATCTCAAAGGAAATAACTGTTGTTCAAAATAATTAAAATGTTAAATATGTATATAAGAAAAATTTAATAAAATATTAGTGTTATTCTCTAAATGTATGTTTTAAGTTGTGATATTTTTATAAAATGTAATGGGAGAGAAATTTATTGATACTTTTTAAAGTACATGGTTTTTTGGCTGTCATATTTTTAATATTTTCATATCTCTAAATTATTATGAATCTTGACACGAGGCATGTTATATTTAATATAATTTTTATTAAATGGTCTTGTATTTAAATTAGTTTGAATAAATTTTGCTTCAATGTAATGGGTTTAATAAATAAATGTATTCATCGCTAAATATTTATTGACGATGAACTTTGATTCTTATTATGTATTTTGTATATATAATTTTTGTGTATACTATGAAGTATAAAGACACAATAAATTATGCGATAAAATGAACTAAAAAAATCTATTTACTATTCGGAGGTAAGTATTTGCACCTTTGTTTTTAACTTTTCAATACCTTTGTTATGTTATAAAGTTTAATTTTACTCATAATTTCATATGTTTCCAATCTGGAGCTAATATGTACACAAGTTCATACACATACAAGTTAATAAAATAATTATTTGACTTCTTGTATTAAGTTTAATAGTATTGCGACTCGTTCAGTGATAAAAATAAATTATTTTTCATCTGTTTTGATGTTATTCAATACATTATTAACATTCTGTGTATATTTTTATATGTTATGTTAATAGTATTATCGCAAGCTGCTATCAAGTAACACATATGTTTTGTTTAAATGTCGTTATTCGTTACTAGTTCAATCGTATAGCCACAGAGATTATGTCTTCATTGTGAGTTTGTTTTGGACCTCTTTGACTTAAATATATGTGTGAGTGATTTGCAACTGAAATAATATGTGTTTCATTATTCTTGTTAAGTTTATTTTGTTCTATGTGAGAGGTTGTAATGTTTCAGTGTAGTATAAACTAAAGCTAAGCTGTATAGACACAGGTTTTCTCAGCATCAATATCTTGCCCCAGTTCCTGTGTCAAAGGGCGTCTTATTTCCACGTTCTCATTTGCTGAAGTTAACGTAACTGTTTACATTTGCGAAATACGATTCACGCTAATGATGAATTGTTAATATACAAACGAAAGTTTTCTATAGTTTTAATAACATAGTATGTTTCTTTATCTTTTACCTTTCCTTATCATACATGTCATAACGATGACATAATTGTATACATTGATAACACTTTATTCAGAAATAAATTGTTTTTCGCACTAACAGATTCGAGTTATCTAACCGTCTGATTTAGAAGACCTCATTTCTGTAGGTACAGCATAAAAAGATATATTTGACTAGTATATGTATGCGGCCTTGTTAGCAAAATTTGTCTCATTATTTGAAACAAGTGTCGCGGATTGCTAAACTAATGTCGCAGCAACCGTACATTAAAGCTGTGTACACAAGTGACATCAAGGGCAAATCATTGGATTGGATTACAGTAGCAGTAGTAAGAAAATATCGGCTTATATTAACGAAATATAATATTACATTTGAAGTAATAATATAATCAATATTAAGACGCATCTTACATCGCTTTTGAATATATTTTTAATGTAGTAGACAGACATAGATGAAATAAATGAAGCGTTTTGAGACTGTTTGTAGATTTGTATTTTATTAATTGGATATAATATCCATAGTAATTCAAATGAAGTGAAAAATTAACTTATTATTCGTGTGTTATATAATGTCACTGTCGATCGTAACTTTCCCGGCTTTCAAGACGAAAGTGTCGGAACATCCAATTAAAGATTCGTTCCAGACATCATACATATAACACGCCTCGTATCTTAAACACCTCAAGCGAACGCCGTGATAGTATTTGTTTCTTTTCTTTGAAAATTTTTTAAACTCCCCTTTGTTCAAAATTGTGACTTTTCTATAAGTTATACCTAATGTTCTCGTGAAGAGATTTAAAATATTTTTATATGTACTGATTTTGTAATATTTTTCGCTGTCAATAAGGTCTGTAGACTCTCCTTATGTAATAATTCTTTTCATGGCTATTCTGCCTAACTGATTGCAACGTATTTTGCCACAAATGAAGGTGGGACTTCTCTGAAAAGACATGGTAGGTACTTTTTAGCTTAGCAATCTTAATAGAAATACAGCGGGCGGAGTCGCAGCAGAACTTCACATATTTCAAAACTTATACGTCTTGTTAGTATAAGTAAAAATAAATAAATTTATGAATTAGTATACGTAATGACGTATTTATTTAAACAAGTATATTGCTTTGTTTGTAATCGTGGGAACGAAATGTCTTTGTTAAAAATTTATAGTTCTATATTTAGATACTCGTATCTATGGTCTTGTATTCGTTCATAGGAATTAAATATTCATATACCGTTTCTAACAAAAATCATTCGAGTTTATTTTTATTGATGTTGTTTCTGATTCACAAAATAACTCCCCCGCTGTTATGTCTGTCGATAACCAATTGTGGTATATTACGAATGTTGTACGCGGATGGCTTCAAATCATTATCAAAGCGATCGAAAGGTCACGAACGGTTGGAATGTTATTGAATAAAACGCGTGCAACGTGGAGCATGCATGTGTGTCTGATATAGTGTACATTAAAAGTATTGTTACGTGAATTGAAATCACGATGAGGCGTCACGGATTTGGAATTCATCGATGTAAGAATTTGTCTTTGTTCGCTTTGTCGTAAAATTCTTTGTTATATCGCTCATTAAGCCTGGTTTTAAGAATTTGTTTAATGGTTTTAATGAAGTAAGTCAGTCGGAGTGACTAAACTTAATGTAAATAAGATGACGAATCGATTATACGGATGTTACAGTTATTGCAAACGCTTCTTTTAATAACGGTTGCAATATTTGTTCTGATTTATTCGCTAAGCTTTGGGTATTAATAACAAGTCTCAATATTAGCAGTACCTCAATACCTTATATTTCATTAAATTTATCGATCGTTTGATATATCATTATTTCTTTGTAAGTTGAGATCTATTTCAAAACATAGTACGCTGTAATAACTTAACTCTTTTTATGTCATAATTGTTGAAATTATATATTTTAATTGAGTAAACAGTTTCGCTCTGACCTTAGATCGCATGTCGCTTCGGCCGTGACGTAAAGTTTTATTGCATACCTTACAAATGGTTGCCGTAGTTGTTTTTATATCTCGACCATCTCATGTATCTCGTTTGTAAATCATTAGGTTTTTCCTCTTCAGCCATTTATGTACATTATAACTTATTTTTAACAAAGTTTTAAGTGATTTTTCAGTTATCAAATAATTTTCTATGTTTAAAGAAAAGAATTGTTTGACTTTATTTCACGGTGTATGGCTAACTTTGAATCTATACCTATTACTAGAATACAATACCGACTCTACTTACTTGTTGAACTCAATTTCACTCGGATTTTCCACTGGCAAAATGCCCAGCGTTTAAGTAAATGTAGCTATTACTGCTAAACTAGACTTTCATGAAATGTTTTTATTACTCACTCCAGTAGACCTGGTAGGATTGGCGAGTAATTCATATTACTCTCTATTAAGAAAAAGTTGTTTGAAATTACATACATATAATTAAAATAATTTAAAAGATCGTTTTATTATTAATAATAATTTATTGAACGAAAATGATTAAGGACAGTAGTATGTGTAAAAAACTTGTTTAAAATTATAAAAATACCTTAAAAAATTCACATTGTTGGTTTGATTACTGTATTGGTGATTTGTTTGAAGTCTTATTTGATACGTTAGAAACTAACAACAACAAAATGACTGATAACAAGAGACAGTTCATACTAAAGTTTACAAATTAGGGTTAAATAATAATTAGGAAATAAAATGAATTATTGTCCTTCATGTTTTCTCAATGTATCCAAAGTTATATAAAAACGCGTTACCATAAAAATATTGACATACAAAATATTCTATAAACACAATCAAGACACCATAAAAAAACTATACAGGGTGACTGGTGAATTACTATCGATACTTGAGGACGTGATATTTGACGATCATATATGACAAAATAAAAATTAATATAACATAAATATTAATAAACTTCTGAGTAAAGTTAACCAAAAGTTATGTAATTAATTACGTATCGTGTGAACACCCTACAGATTAGATATACACACACACACACGCGCGTGCGGCGGCGTCTTGTTGTATCAGCACGCCGCCGCACGCGTCCACACTTGGAACACTTGGAACGTGTTCACACTTTATTTAATTATACGGAAATTTGGTCAAAAATTAAGTACCTATTTTTTTACATAATTCGAATGAGAATCATGTACCGAGTATTCTCCTTAAATATTGATAGTAATTCACCAGTCACCCTGTATATGATTTATATCAAACTTCATGTATTACATTTTTTTGTTTTTACTATTTGTTAAACAGACGTCGTTTCTCATACACACATGTATTTATTCTCAGTTTTAATAAGACATGTTCATGTTACAAAGATATCATCAAATAATTACAGGACACGTGAATAACGTGCTATTACTGAGATCACTTGAATATCTCGTGGGAAAAATATTTTTAATTGTGTTATAACTTCAGTAAGGGAATTGTGCTTCATAATTATTATTAATAATAAAATACCAAGTACATAATGTACATAAATAAGTCGAGAATCTAATACTATGTTTAAATATATAGATCTAAAATCTAATGATTTGCAAGCAACTTAAAAGTGTAATTTTGTTTTCATGTAAAATCTTTAAAAATAAGTATATACTATCAATAACATTACTGTTACACACACACATACACATATTATACACACACAAATACATCCGTAATATCTGAATAGTATGTGTCGGGGTCAGCGGCGCGGGCGCAGCGTACCAAGCGCTGGCCGGTACCAAGTTTTTATTATGGATTATGTACTAGGAATTATGAAACGCATTGTTCTATGGATTATTGCGGCGACTGGGCTATAACGTTTCTGATGTTTTTATAATGAGACTGACGTAAAATACATTTTGTAACGAGTGATTTGGACGGATAAAATTCAATTATTATGTCACACGTGTCAGCATACTTATACATTCGAATTATTATTCTGTTGTGAGAGTATTGTTACATGTTTTATGGAGGCTAGTTGAGAAATTATTTTATCGTTTGTAACAAATTACGTCAAGCGAAAGTCCGCAACGAAATCCGCATCGGATTCTATATGCAATGTTTTCTCCTCTATATAAATAAGTTTAATTTTTTTTCTTCTAATTTCCATCGGCGAACTCCACACTATTCCGCATGTGGTAACACGTGGTTTTAATTATTTACCCAACTTTAGATGCTCTAAATAACATTGACATATCTCTCTCACTCTCATCAATACAAGTGTGATAAGGACGGGACTATAAATTAACTTACCAGCTGTTAGAGAATTCTTCATTAAAATACCAACAATCCTGCTTTATAACATCAGCGTGTTTTTAAATAACAGTCATTCAATTCTCGCACGTATTGTTGTTGGTTATGATTCATATTTGACTGTTATCATATATAATAGTAGATAATGCGTATTACGCTGTGACGTACGTTATAACAAGAAGTACAATTCCATTGACGTAGTTGTCAATTGATCTGAAATTCTACACGAGACGACGGTGTAAAATATAAATAAATCCAAATTAATTCTGAATTGTCAATACATGTACTCATGTATGTATATATGTATATATACTTTTTAGTACTTTGTTTAAAACAAAACAAAGTGTTCAACATTTATGTCACGTATTAATAGTTGCTTTAATTGACCTCTAGATAAACGTATCTCGTGAGTCGTGGCATATATGTATGTAAAAAAAATTTAGATTTGACAAAAATCTTTGTCATCTCGTCACCCTTACTCACGGTTGCAGTAAAAAATCCGAGAAGAGTTTAATTTTTATTAAGTAATTAAAATTTTATTACGTAAATACATTTTAGCGATTTAATTAATGATGGATAAAATATAAAGTCATTACATTTATGTGCTTTAAATAATTAAATTAAAATCTTCGTGTTTAAATTTTGTTATTAAGATAATTTTAATAAGTGTTCATTATCAATCAGTGCCAGACAATCAACCTCACAATCTCTGATACATTAAAACACGTGAACATTCGTTAATTATTATTTCGGCGATAACAATTATTGCTTTCACGATTCATAATAAAAAATCTTTCTCAATTTAACGTTTCGTCAATTATTTTAACTTTTAATTACATAGTTGTTATTTGAAATATAAAAAATTATAGCAAATAAAATAATTTTGTAATAAAAAGTTTCAGTAGCATCAATATATGTTTAATAATGAGATATAAGATTTTCGCGAGTATTCATTTAAATGAAACTAATGTTTTTATTTTTGATTATAAGCTACATACTCCCGACGTTTCGGTTACTTTACAGCAATTGTAATCACGGGCATCTCATCTGCCCGTGCTCACGGTTGCTGTAAAATAACCGAAAAGCCGGGAATATGTACATAGTTTTTTAAATAATGAAATCCGAAGAATATTAGTTTCATTTTTATGTCTAATGTTACATGTGCATATATTTTATTTTAATTAAGAGAAAAATGTTGATAATTTGTAACAGAAAATCTCATAATGCGCGATAACGATTTATTACATGTATAGATGTAATATATTATAAGTAACAGTAGAAGTCATTCAAGCTGAAATCATATGTTGACAATAAAAACATCTGTTCTGTCAGACTGTCCTTGTACATGGGAACTGATAAACCTATTAACTTGTACTTTGTTTTTATGCATCGATTACAAATTCTCTTTGATAGTTCATGTTTATTAAATATGAAAATTTGGTTTATAATGAGTGAAACATAACTATTTACATTATTTATTTTACTTCATTTTACTGAAATTCGTTTTTCTTATACACCATTCTCTTATATGTATTCTATACAATGTAAAGATTAAATTACACTATATAATACCAGTCAATGTTTTTGCAGAGGTGTTTTCCCTTGGAAGAGTAGTTCGTCTAAGAACAATGACTCATCTCCGACGTCCTGGAGACTGTTCGGCAGCAAGTCCAACAGTAACCTGGCGAAGAGTCTGACCGCTGAGGTTCAGAAGTCATTGACCCCATCGTCCTCCGTAACCACCACACCGCACCACCACAAACGGCAGGGCAGCTCTGCCAGTGAGAAGCAGTTCGACGACCTAGTCGCCAGCTCCATAGCGCTCATACAACATGACAGGTTAGTTCATGTGATATGAAGACAATATTATACAGATTTTAGCAGTATCGAAATTCTTAGTTTCTGGTCGCGACCTCGTTCATTCGTAAATCCCTCTTTAAATGGTTCAGTGTAATAGTTCATATTGACAAATGACATTGGCGAAATCTATAAGGAAACATCACTAACTAAAAGAGAGAGTATTTTATACTGTATTAAAAATAATTCATAGTTTCTCAGAAAAAGAATTTCGCTTTTATAAACGTTCTGGATATTTTCGTGTTATAAAATTCGATCATATTAAAGTTATTTACCATGTATCACTTAGAGGCTAGAGCTCATTTAAAATAATTTTTTTTTGAGTTGCAATACATTGAAAGTTAATTCTATTTAAAAAAATATTTGATGTAGAAAATTTAGTAAGTTTTATTAAAAGTATTTATGTCTTTTTAATATTTTCTCGATTCAGTTAATATATGTGATTAAGTTTATTAACCGGTTTACAGACTGCTCTTATGGAATCGTAATTTCCGTAACAACAGGAAATATGACACAAGTTAATTTAAGTGCGATATTTAGTTACAACTCATACACACACACACATATACAGGGTTAGAGGTTAAGTCAACAGAAATCCTTTAAGAGAGGATAGATTCCATCATTCCTAACCGATTTGACTATGGAACCCCATATACTAAACCTAACCTTTCTCAACTTATTGGCTTTTGAATTTATTTTACAAAAATTACTGTTTTTTTGTCGATTGCCCCTTTTATTTTTGTTTTATGTCCCAATTTTGTATTATTTTTGTGTAGAAGATTGCTTTATTATTTTAAGTTACAAAACTGCCAGTAACTATACCAAATGAGTCGTAGTAAACAGTCAATTGTTAAATAAATAAATAAATTTGAAAAAATATTTCTTCTTAAAAATAAAAATTTTCCTTATATACCAATATTAATTATTTACTACTTTATGAATCAATTTTTATTACACACACAAACACACACACATACACGCTTGTAACCTCGTGTAAATTACATGGCGATGCAATATCCGATCGCCAAAAACGAATTAAATCTGTCAGCGAATACATTAGAAGGATTAATTATGGTGGTATTTAATTAATTCTAGTTTAATTCTTTTTAATTAGAATTAGGATTAATTATGGTTGTATTTAATTAATTCATATGCTGCCTTAACCGAAGAAATTTAAAGCAATTCACATTTTTATTAATAATATTGCATGTTACGAGGTCATCGACGCTTTTAACACGATATCGTATAATTATTTTATTGTTAAACATTTCTTTTTAATTAGCAAACAATGAGAAAATATTATGTTAATTCAGAAAAATCGTTTAAGATGTTAAAGAAAACAACATTTTACTGTTTGAATATTATCTTTCTAAGAAATGTATATGAGTTATAAAAAATCACCTAGTATATAAATAGTTAAAAATTAACATGAATCCAGCCAAATAGTTTGTAATTTAGCCCATTCAATGTGTTTTCACGCTTGAATTAAACAAACATTTGTTCATGTTATAGAAGATAGTATTGAAAACAAACAATTGGAATTTGGAATATAAAGATGTTTTGAACAAAAACCTTTTTTAAGGAAAACCAATTGTCCTTATTAGAAAAACTTTAACATGATATATTTATATTAATATACCTTTCTTTAATATTTTATCATTATAAATCGTCTATACAAAACGGTATTCTTCTAACATATTAATTTAATATTATTATCAACTTGTGATTATTATATATGGAATTTTAGAATGGATTAAAAGAGAAAAATATCTAGTTTATATGTTAAGGCTAGCCATATAATCTAGGTCCGTGGCCAGTCATATGCGGGTAATTTAAATCTCACCAAAAACATGCCTGTTAAAAAGGGGGCCAAGTTCCAATCGGCTAATTGTTTGCCTAAAAAAGGGGTGAAATCCAATCTAATGCCAAGTTTAGATGCCCTTTGAAATCGATCATAATCATCTTCATCAACAGCATGATCCACTGGTAAACATTTGCCATTCCCAAGACTCGCCACCACACCCAGTCCTCTGCCTTCCACATCCAGCCACTACCCGCCACCTTATTCACGTCAACGGTCCATCTGGCCGAAATTCACTTTACCATACACCCAACTTAAAACATGGTATAGTTGTGAAAATACGTAGGTGCGTGGTTAAAAATATCTAAAATTATAATACTTCTCAATTTGAACTTGGCAGGTTTTCGTGCTGTACGTAACACTTAATTAATTGTATCATTAATTTATTATTTAGTTATATAATTATTTATATTTATATAATTTAAATATTATATTATTTATATAATTAAATTAACCTGCCAAGTTCAAATTTAGAAGTATTATAATTTTAGATATTTTTAACCAAACACCTACGTATTTTCACAACTATACCATATTTTAAGTTGGGTGTATGGTAAAGTGAATTTCGGCCAGATGGACCGTTGACGTGAATAAGGTGGCGGGTAGTGGCTGGATGTGGAAGGCAGAGGACTGGGTGTGGTGGCGAGTCTTGGGAATGGCAAATGTTTACCAGTGGATCATGCTGTTGATGAAGATGATTATGATCGATTTCAAAGGGCATCTAAACTTGGCATTAGATTGGATTTCACCCCTTTTTTAGGCAAACAATTAGCCGATTGGAACTTGGCCCCCTTTTTAACAGGCATGTTTTTGGTGAGATTTCAATACTTTTTTTCAAGAAATCGTACATACAATCGTACTATACAGCCGTACAATGCATAACTTACAGCATGAAACATACAGCTACCATCTGATGGCATAGGAATTACCCTATGTGGTATATCTCCGCCAACCACCGAAAGATGTACAATTTTCATCGTTGGTAAATGAATAGTAGAAAAGAAATAGAGTGAATTTGTGCTTTTAACACACACAAGTAATCAATCAATAAGCAATATCAAAATTAATCCTTTAGCAAGTCAAATCAGTGATCCATTTAATCGTAATCGTAACCATATATGTATAAGATATCAAGACATAAGTGTAGAAAGAAATAGAAAGAAATGACCATCGATTCCTTATCGACTTTCATTCACATATACTGCGGACAAAACAATATCGCGATTCAATTATATCGCTAGCGCCATCTATCGAAAGTAATTTATAACAATAGAAACCTGATTTTTTAGGTAAGCAATATTTAATTAAGTTATACAGTGTGCATTATGTATACAATGACAATATTTTATGCATGATAATATATATATGTTCTTAAGAAGCGCTCCACATTTTTTTCACAATAATATTCATTTAAAAATAAATTAACAAACAATAAATGGTATTTTTGTGAAAAAAAGCGTGATGAGCTTCATATATCACTTCTTGAGAAGCGCCCCACGCTTTTTTTTCAATAATACCATTTATTGTTTATTTTAAACAATTTAAATTAAATTGATTTCCAAGGTTGTAAAGGTTAAATTAGTTTCCACGCGGTTTCTTTCATCATTGGAGCGTGTTTTTTAGTTTTTTTTAAACTATATTTATTTTTTATTTTTTAGTTTCATTTATCACCGATTGATAGATATACTCATATTATTAATTATTAATATTTCATTATTATGTATTTTATTGTGCTGAGCTGAGCGCCTATATAAAGGTTTTGATTACCTGTCAGTGAGTCAGTGCCAAAATTAGCTATTTTCACAGGGTCATATTTCAGGATCTACTGAAGCTTTATCTATGAAACTTGGCATACTGCTTTAGGACTAGTATATGATTACGTAGGTACAATTTTATCTCTGTACTTGCAATAGACACTGAGCTACATCGGGTTAAAAGTGGGTCGAATTTATTAAAAATTCGATATTTAGAATTGAGGCAACTCACGCTTGACCGATTTCTTAAATTTCTTAATTTTTTGTTAATCTACATATAACACACAACCTGTGTACCAAATTTCATAATGCTAAAACAATGGGAAGTAGCCTAGAGGTTTTGATTACCTGTCAGTGAGTCAGTGCCAAAATTAGCTATTTTCACAGGGTCATATTTCAGGATCTACTGAAGCTATATTTATATAATATGGCATACTGCTTTAGTACTAGTATATGATTACGTAGGTAAAATTTTATCTCTGTACTTGCAATAGGCACTGAGCTACAGGGGGTCAAAAGTGGGTCGAAACGGTTCGTGTAAATATAGTGCACGGCATGCGCCGGCCTGTGGAACTTGGCCGGCGCACTACCGTGCGCTTAGATATACTCGGCTGAATTGAAACTGATATTATTTTACGGATTACGTTAGTTTTGAGTTTCGTTAAGTTTTTTGATGAATTTGATATGACTAATACAAAATTTGTTAATAAAATATATTTATATGAGTAGTAAGTAAGATTTATGTATCAAGTTTTCGTAATGAAAGATATACGACACTTGCTTCTAGTATTTCGTATATGGATGGTTAATTTTGACTTAAAATAAGACTAGTGACTATCAAATTATATTAATAATTTTATTGCGTATAAGTTGATTAAAACGGCTATGTATGGAATCACAATCCAATTAAATGAAATCCAAGTAAAATAGGTCATATAAAGTAGTACGACTTGTGTTTAATGGGGCATGTATATAAGATATAGTAGAGATAGGTGAATTATAACAAACAAACAGTACACAGGATAAATGTTATATTAATATGGAAATATTACTTAACTGCACGATTGATTTATTATTGACAAGGAGTTTTAACACCTGTCTTAGGTTAAAGAACGATTAAGACGAAGTAGTTAGACATAAACCCAGGTCGACAATTAGAACGAGATTGCAAAATTATTTTAAAAGTGGAGCCGACTGTCAAGACTCAAGAATAAAACATGAAATGGAATTTTTTTTTTACCAGTTATGTAACGATATCTAATATTTTCGTGAGTATTTATGTACCTAAATAAAAAAAGAATTTCTGATATATGAAAATGTCTGGCAGAAACATTTTCATCTCGTCTGCCCGGGATCGCGGTTGCTGC